AAGCGAGCCCAGGGGGTTGTTGAGTGCACGGGGGGGGTCAGCTTGGTCACGGCCCCTCTCTGGGCCACCAAGTTGGCTGAAACCACCAGGTTTAGCCCCGTCCCCGCCTCCCTCCCCACCGTGGAGCTTGTGCCCTGATAATTGCAATGAACGCGGCGAGCAGGCAGGTAATTTTGCTGAGCTCTTTTCAGTTCTAATTAACATTATTCATTTCTTGTGTGTCCTGCTGGGTTGAGACAATCTGTGCTCTCCAGCCCAGCCCTCTGGAACACCAGAAGAGGCAACAACAACAAAAAAAATTTAAAAAAAAAAAGAAGTGTTGTGCCAATTACTACACTTCAGTAATTAAAAAACCTCCTTTCCCCCCACTGCTGGGCCACCTCCTCTCGTGTCATTTGCTGTGTGCACGGTGGGGATGGCAGAGGGAGAGGAATTCAGGAGGACATGTCCTCGTTGCCTGGTGCCATCTGTGCCTGCAACGAGATGGGGGGAGGTACCGGGGGCTGCGTGAAGCACGGGGAGGGGGATGATGAGCAGCCAGGGCCCTCAGCTTCCTCACCCTGTTGCTTATTTATCCTTGATCCTTGGTTGTGGTGGCTGCAGTTGGGTCGTGGGCTCTTTTTTGGGGGCAGATCTGCGTCTTCAAACAGCCTGTTCCCCTCTGGCTGGGGCTGTTTTCTCCCCACCGAGGGCTTTGTTGGCATTTTCAGCCTTGTTCATCTTCATCCTTACGTTACCTCAGGTGGCAAAAACCTGATGGTGATACTTTTCCTCTCCCCATTTCCACCTCCAGCTGCCCTGCGGGCTGTTGGTTGCACCCACGGGCAACGATCTGGTCCATCAAGACCCATCGTTGCCCAGGGAGTGTGGGACAAGGGCACGATCAGGCAGGTTGGGAGATGTATTCGAAGGATGCCACTGCCTTAAAATGCCCAAACTCCATCACTCGTGGTCATTTTGAGGTGTCCTCAGAGGCAGCAGATGGTCTGGTGGAGCGTGAGGAGCTACATCCCTCTGCAGACCATGCCCACCCCCAGGATGATGCAGCAGAGATGTGTTAGCAGCATTTCCACCTCCTGGAGGAGAAAAAAAAACAACCCTGGAGCTTGGGATTCTGGCTTTAGAGGGAAAAAAAGAGCAGTGAGAGGGAGCATCTCCTCCTTGTGCTGACAGTCGGCAGTTTTTCATCTTCCTGCAGGAGAAGGCCTTGCCTTCTGAGCAGGAACGGAACAAGGATTAAGGATCTGGAGAGAGAAAATTACCTCATCTGTGCTTAATTATGTTATACATCTTCTTTTTTTAGAGGCGAGCGCTGTTTTCCAGCCCCTCTCTCCCCTCCCTCCCTGGCACATCGTGGGGTGTGAGGGAGGGTGAGAACCTCCAGCGAGGTGGAGGAGGCATCTCGGGGGCTTTGCCCCTTGCCAAGAGTGGGGTGGGAAGGGGGAGATGGTGGGCTCAGGGGTGGCTTTACCCTCCAACTGTGCTTGGAGCCTGCCTTCCCGGCCAAAGCCAAAGGTTTTCTGCTTGGCTGCTTATGTGCTGGAGAAGGTGGCTTCCCATCTCCACCTTGGGAGAGAGGAAGGAAGGGGGAGCAGATGGAGGGGCTGGAAGAGCTGTGGCCACGGGGACCTCTCCTCCTGCGAGGAGAAACAAGGTTTATCAGGGTGGTTGGAAGGAGCTGGGGTAGGAGCACGACCCACCATCCCGTAAATAGCACCCCACATCCAAAGGTCAAAGTGGAGAAACAAGGTTTATCAGGGTGGTTGGAAGGAGCTGGGGTAGGAGCACGACCCACCATCCCCTAAACAGCACCCCATATCCAAAGGTCAAAGCGTGTCGTTCGCAGGAGCTGGTTCTGCACTTTATTTTTTATATATATATATATAATTTTTTTCTTGACTCAGGAGCTTTAAGAGGCAGGGAGGAAAATAAAATAACAACTTGAAGCCTGCCGATCCAGGGGACAGAGAAGCGTGTCCAGGTGATAAGAAGAGATTGTGCCTGGGTGCTGTGAAGGGCGAAAGCACTTATTTCACTGGTGCCTCATGCGTTACCTGAGCCCCGTTGGCTTTTCAAAAGCACTTAAATGCCCATATGATAGAGGGAATGCTTGGATTACACACTGTCTGGCTCCATTATTATCCAAGGGATCTCCAAGCCGATGCATTTCACACACACACAAAAAAAAACTGGCGTGGAGGAGGAGAGGAGAAATATATATATTTTTAGTTCAGCCTGCTTACGGGGCCTGGGGGATAATCCCCTCGGATGGGACAGGTCTGAGAAATTCAAGCCACATCTGGCTTCTCATCACCTGGTCCTTCTCCTTGATGTGGAGGGTGGACACCCCTCCGTGTTCATGCAGAAATGTTGCTTGCTGCCTATTTTGTGGCCTCCTGATGGGCAGGCTGGAGCCAAGCACCAAATATCCACCTGCAATTTCTTCCAACCCCGTAGGTCTCAGCTCCCGGCGGAGCTGAGGTCCAGAGGGAAACTAAAACCATCCTCCTGGGGGAAGAAACCTCAAGTTTTGTTCAACTTGAGCAACTCAACTTTGAGGTTTCGCTCAAGTTATAACGAAGCTTGAGAGCAAAGAGCCGAGTTCTTGGTGTTCAGCCCAGGCTGAATCTATTGCTTTTTTTATGTAGATAATAAAAATCTGCTCACATTTAATTTATTATTATCGTAATATCATTATGGAACAGCAGTAAAATTGTTTAATTTATCGGATGTTTTTCACACCAGAGAAGGGAGGATGCCGCAGTAGCTTGGGTACTTGCCTCACAAATCAGCTTGGGTGTCCTGGGACTCTACCCATCTCGCCTTGGGCACATCATCTCATGGGGATCCATCATCCCCGACCTCCAAATGTTGTGTGTTGGGGCTGAGCGGGTTGTTTGGGCTGCTTTTCTGATGTCTGGGGCCCAAGAGATACCTCCAAAAAGAGATTAGGTGGGAACAGGCGGGTATCCAGGTGGGCATCAGTAGTGGACGTGGGAAGGGAAGGAGCCCACCAGGGAGGAGACAGATGGAGAAAGGCTGTAGATGGCTGCAGGGAGAGTCCTGAAGGACCACATGCTGCAGATATCTTCATCCTTGCTGTTAATTCCCCTGCTACCACAGTCTGGTGTGTGTAGACCATCAAAGCCCCTTGCATTCCTTGAGGTTACCCCATGTGAGACCTCCCAGAGGCTGCTGGACTCTTTTTTGATGCCTCCCAAGTTAATTTGCATCCCGGCCACTGCACAAGTAATGGGGTAGATTGGGGGAGACTATAAATGGTGGATCTGAGGCTGAGTGGTTTTGTGCAGGGACATTATCCTCCGTCGTCGGCGTCCAGCAAAGCGCGGCCAAGTCCCAAGGGCTCCGTAATCCCAAATTTGCTCGGAGAGAAGAGGGGTATTTTTGTCAGTTAGGTTGACGGTTGGACAAGATGATCTTTAAGGTCCCTTCCAACCTAGAAGATTCTGGGATTCTGGGTTTTAGATGGCTTGGAGGGGGAAGGGGCAGCACTGAGGGTTTCTGCTGGCTAGGGAAGGGCTTGGACAGCAGGCCCGGTGTTCTTCACCAATCTAGAGGTGATTCATGGAAAGGAAGGGTTCAAATTTTACTTGAGGACGTGGGGATGGGTCTGGCAGAGACCTTTGGGAGGAGCAGGACTGGCCCTCCCTAATGTGGACAGGAAAATAACTGTAGAATCCTAGAAAGTCATAGAAAATAACCGTAGAGGAGGAGCAAAGTTCTTCACCAATCTAGAGGTGATTCATGGAAAGGAAGGGTTCAAATTTTACTTGAGGACGTGGGGATGGGTCTGGCAGAGACCTTTGGGAGGAGCAGGACTGGCCCTCCCTAATGTGGACAGGAAAATAACTGTAGAATCCTAGAAAGTCATAGAAAATAACCGTAGAGGAGGAGCAAAGTCTCTTCTAGGTTTGTGCCGTGTTGTCTTGAGGAGGGGGGACAGGGGGCTCAGTGTCTTCATGAGGCTGGAGGTAGAAGCTTTCTGCCTCCAAAACCTCACTCGGGAAGGGAGATGCTTCACGGGGGTGAGGGCGACGCAGCGATGAGGATGCTGGGGAGGGGAGGAAGAGCTGGCAGAAGGGGATGAATGGTGGGAAGCTCAAGGTTTCTCCTTAGAGGTGCGTCAGAGCCGGCTTTCTCCGGAGATAAATTTTCCCCAGCTCCTTGTGAAGCAGAGCTTTGCATTTCTTTGCCTGGCTCCAGGGATCTGAAGGTCTGAGGAGAGAAGGAGAAGGGATGGATGGGTTCGGGCAGGAGGTAGAAACCTGCATCCCGTCTCCCCCAACCCCCCC